AGAAGAAGAAGAAGAAAAAGATTGTGTTGAGATATATCACAGCATTAAAACAGTTAAAATTAAAAATTAATGGCACTTATAATGGCAATACCAAGGATGCAGGGAAATTACCACAGATGCAGAAAACATGGATCTCATACATTGCTGGTATAAACATGAAATGGTACAGATACTCTGAGGAAAACAGTTTGGCATTTTCTCTGGAAATCAAACATAAATAATATACCTCCTAACAATCATACTCCTGAACATTTATTGTTGAGAAATGAATACTTATACCCAGAGAGAGACCTGTACATGATTGTTTAAACCAGATTTATTTGCAAAACTCAAAACTTGAAATAACCAAATGGTGCTACAATAAGTAATGATTAAACAAATGGTATGATATCCATACCATGGAATCCTACTTATCCAGGAGCCAACTGTAATTCACACCTAAAACCTAGAGTGGATTCCAAGAGCATTGTGCTAAGTGAAAACTAGCTGCCTTAGGGGCCATGTATCATGTGATTCCATATATATAACATTCTTGAAATGACAGGTGGAAAGCAAATCAGTGCTGCCAAGGGGTACTGAGAATGGAAAGGAGGAGTGGACGTGACCATGAAGTAGGTGCCCAAGGGAGGTATTTTGTGGTGGAATAGTTTGGAACCTTGTTAGCTGTAATGATCATAAGAACATAAGCACATGTTCAAATGACATAGAACTGGACGCTCTCTTTACACCAATGTGGTTTTTCCCATTCATGCTGTACTATAGTTAAGATGTAACCTTTGGGGGAAATTGGGTGAAGGATACAGCAGACCTCTCTGTTCTATTCTTATGACTTCCTGTGAATTTAAAATTATTCCAAAGTAAGTTTTCAAAGGCAGGAAATATGCAAATCCTGCAAAGCATTCTTTAAAAAAAATACATTCCCTAAAGTGTTTTCAGGATGCTAAATTTCTCAAGTTAATAGTTTCTCTTTCCAATAGTTAGCTAAATCAAATTGTTTATATACAGAAGGTTCCTGGTTTTTTTTTTCCCATTGTTTCTTTTAATTGATAACAGAGTAAAAAATGCTATAAATTCTATACTTTCCATGTGTTAAACTCTAATTTACAATTGATAATGGGTATCAAAGGATCAAGGACACCAAAATCATGATTTAATCAAAAACACTGCTTTAACATATGAGTTGTGACTTCATTATTGACCTTAAGAGCAGACACTTTTGCAGCAGCTGTCAACAGGGAAACAAAATGTGACTAATATTCTACTTTCTTCTATTTAAAAAAGGAATTAATTAATATAAATATGCCCCAATTGGATATCTTAAAAGCTTCCAGAACACATACTTTGAAAACTCTATGCCTGAATAATTGGGCTATTGATTATTTCTGGAACATAAATTCAGCCCTCCAATTTAATCTTATTTAGACATGAAATTACAATAAAAAAGGTTTCCTGATAACGATTCATCTTCTTATTTCAAATTATCTCCTTTGATAAATCTCTTTTTCTTGAGAAGATTTATGTAATAAATTACTAGATTCTGACATTCTTTAATTACCAATAGCAGCACCTCCAAATATGTCTTATAGTCTGCTTTCATAATTTACTAGCAAAGTGAAAACTCCTGTAGAAGTATCTTAAAGGAGTTTATTGAAATCTTCAATGGTATTCTATTTTTTTTAAGTGAGTAGGGAAAAATCCTCAGAAAATACCTTGTGGAAAGTACAAATACAGGTTCACAGTCCCTTATCTGTACTTTCACTTGTCACGAGTTCATTTGAAGATCTCAGAATTGCAGGTCAAGGTCTATTGGTGGCAACATCAGACTAGAACAATCCTGGGAATTTTTGGCCATCTCTTTGTAATCTGTGACACTATTTTTTTAAACAGAAAGATTACAGGCATGCAAAGACCCGAAAGACTACTTCTCTTTGAATCCATCTTTAATCCATGAGTGTTAATATTCCTACCTTCATTATAGAAACATAAATATGCTCAGGATGCTACCCAGCTGCTTGTGCAAGTATCATAGAAGACACAGCATATTGTATTTCAAAATCTGAAAGTTCTCATCATGTGAAATGTGATTGGCTCCAATAATTTGCAGTGGAAGATTATGAGTATCTTTAAAAAGTATAAAATAGGGCTGGGGTGTAGCTCAGTCAAAGAGTGCTTGCCTAGCATGTGTGAGGCACTGGATTCAATTCTCAGCACCACGTAGAAATAAATAAAATAAAGGTCTATTGACAAATAAAAAAAATTTTAAAAAAAGAAGTATAAAATAGATGTCCAGGGAGCACTGAGAATAGAAAAAAAAAACTTTAACACAGAAATCCACAAGCACAAAGATCATGACAAGAAATTCTACAGATTGGCTCCAAATTATCATTTTATAAATGCAGAAACTGAGTAATAGAGAAGCTGAGAAGCTTGCTCAGGGTTCCCCAGTTGGAATGCAGGTTATTTGGGTTCAGAGATTATACTCTTAAACCCAAAATCCAGCAGTCATGGTATTGTGAGAGACAGGGTCTCTGAGGTAAAAGCATGAGGATTTTGTGACAGTTTATTTTCTTTCCAGCAAAAGTTCAAGGTTTAAGATACTGGAAATCAGGTGCATGATATCCAAGTTTGATATTGGAGAATCTTTTCATGGAGAAAAATGAACAGCCCACAGGAAAAGGTATAGGAAAACTGACCTCAGTTGGTCTTTATCTGTGGAGGTCACCTGTCAAATTCTGGTCATGAACACTGAAATAACAAGCACCTATTTAAAGCCTCTCTCTCTCTCTCTCTCTCTCTCTCTCTCTCTCTATATATATATATATATATATATATATATATATATATATATATATATATATAAAGAAAATGTATTTAGGGGTTGGGGATTTAGCTCAATGGCAGAGCACTTGTCTAGCAACACAAGGCCCTGAGTTCAGTCCTCAGCCTTGCAGGGAGGAGAAGGAGGAGAAGGAAAAGGAGAAGAAGAAGAAGGTGTATTTCTGTATTTGTCTGTTTTCAATTACTATAATGAAATACCTGAAGCTGGGTAACTTTTTTAAAAAATTGTTTGTTTAGCTTGTACTTTTGGAGTCTGAAAGTCCAAACACCTCTGGCAAAGTTTCCTGTGACTGTGTCACATCATTGCAGATGGCATTGTGATGGAAGCATGTTGAGAAGGAGCAATCACATGATAAGACAGGAAGAGAGACAGCAATTGGAGAATCATGTTAATTGTTTACAAGGACATGTGCCCAGTGACCTCCCAACCTCCCACTATGCCCACCTCTTAAAGATCTCACCACTTCCTAATATCACAACACTAGTGACCATGCTCCTATCACATGAGCCCCTGGGTACACATTTAAACCAGAAGTAAACCACAGCAGAGGGGATTCAAAAATCCCCAGACATTTGAGGAAAACAAACATAAAAAGGGGTCAAAATGAACAATCAATGAAAAGGAACACAGGCTAGAGGAAACAGAAAAATTAAGGCAAGTTTTAAGTGAATATATCATAAGTACCTCAGAGAATAAGAAACAAGACTGCATTCACAAACCCAAAAGAGGTTGCTATTTTTTTAATTTTTTTAATGAGAAGAGCTTACTGGCATGCAAAGACCTGAAAGACTGCCTCTGTTTGAATCTGTCTTTAAGAATGTTGTTCCACAACTTTGGATTGGTCAGAGGGCAGGGAAGGCAGGGGAGGGGCTGTGGGACTGGGAAGGATGGTGGAATGAGACGGGCATTATTACCCTATGTACATGTATGATTGTACGAATGGTGTGACTCTACATCATGTACAACCAGGGAAATGAGAAGTTGTGCTCCATTTGTGTACAGTGAGTTGAAATGCATTCTGCTGTTGTGTATAACTAATTAGAACAAATTAAATAAATAAATAAATAAAAGTGGTTCTACAAAGCAGTTCAGCAAGACATAGCAGGAATGGGGTCCAGAAGCTTCATCTGAAACCACTAATGCAGGTCAGAGTGGACAATTCCTTTATTTCCCCATATTTATAAAATAACTGCTCTATCTCTATTTAAAAGATTGATATTTAGAGATATAGTTTTACCTCATTGCAGTTATTCTGTAAATACTGTTAAAACTTGCTTTTTTGTTCATCATATTATTACTAAATTAACCATGTTCTGTGAACATTTCACTACAATCATGTTGATGAATATCCTTGTTATTATTTGTATACAAATGTGCTGTTTTTCCTTAGGGAAAATTGTTCGAAATGATACTGACTAGTCAAAATTTTCATTTTGATAGATTTTTTTTCATTACTTTTCAAATTAGTAGATGAATATAGTTGCCTCCAAATTATCCACAAATAAAGATAATGTTTTATCTCACGCATTTTTTTATATTTATGGTTTCGTTGCATGAGCTAAAACTTTTTGGAGAAAACTATTAGCATGAGTAGGAATAGAAGTTATGCTTAAGTTGTTCCTGATTTTAATGGGAATGCTTGTTTGTTATACTTTTGAATATTAACGAATATGATGTTGGCTTATTTTTCATTCTGTGGTTAAAAAAAATCCTCTGAAGAGTTTGAATTAAGAATAAATATTAAATCATATTTGGTATCATGTCATTTATCAGATTGTCTTCATTAAACACATACATACTGTTCTCAATAGACCAGATTCTTTGCTGCTTAGGTACACAGCAGAATGGGTTTTTAATTATCTTTTCAGATTGCCTACACAGAGAATTGTGTGTTGTATAAATACATCCACTCTTAAAACCAGCACCAAAATGATGATTGGTCAACTGTGCTAGAAGAGGATTCCCTAAAAGTTTATAACTTATCCTTACCTGTTGAAATACAGACTGTTTGCTTGACTGACTCAAGGAATTCTCTTTTTAAAAGTTGTCCATCAGAACATCTGTAAAGAAGCACTTGTCCTATAGCCATGGAGCTGTATTTGAACGACTAAAGAATCCTTGAAGTCCTTTTTAACGAAGGTGCTTTTGTTTGTCCTTTTAGGGGCACTGCAATTGCTGGCATCGTCTTTGGAATCGTGTTCATCATGGGGGTCATTGCTGGAATTGCCATATGCGTCTGCATGTGCATGAAAAACAACCGGGGCACCCGGGTGGGTGTCATCAGAACCACCCACATCAATACCATCTCCTCCTACCCTGGTGAGAAAAACTGCCTTCTCCTGAAGGAGGAGTCCAATTTTCTTTCTTAGACTCAAATCCTTAGAGAGGAAAAAAAAAAAAACATTAAAGACTCTATGTGAAATAATCTCAGGTTTCTAGGGTATTTCTAAGTAAATGTAGTTTGAAGCTCTAGCTTTGAATAGAGATTATTTAGACCCAAGTAAGAAAATCCATTTTGTATTTGAGGGTATTCATATTTTCAATGGATCTCTCATTGACTACAATTGCCAGTCAGCCAGAATGAAGATAAATAGACAATTCACACACACCATCTACCTACCACTGAGCCTGACAGGTAATTACAGAGAAAGCATGTCTCGGGAAACTGGTATCTGATTTAATAGCATATATGTCTTGAGAAAAATTATTTTAAAAAGTTTTCATGTGTCCTCATTATACTAAAAGAAGAGCTTTCACATAATATTAAAATTCTCAACAAAGAGCAACAAAGGTAATATATTATTAATTTGACAAGTATTTGTTGAAAATCTGCTAGAAACTCCACATATAAATTTATCAAGTACATGTGATTCCATAAACAAAATACTGCATTTTGCACTAGAGATTTCAATAGTGCTTTCATTGTCAATCTTCATATATACTACTTGGCATATAAAAGGCAAGTGAATTCTTACTTTGACACACTCTTAGAAAATAATTTCCCCTTCACCCTTAAGTCCTCTCTAAGTCCCTGCAATAAAGAAACAGGGTGCCTTTAAAATATAGTCTACCCTATGCATCAATCCTATAATTCTTTCTTCCTTTTTAAATCTTTTCTCTATTCATTTGAGGGAGCAAGTTTCAGATGAATGTGGGAATGATGACTTCTGCAGTTCCTCTTTGCCAGTTCTTCCTCTTCCCTCCTATCTTCGTGTTGCAGTATCTTGGGGCTCTGCATCTTCTTCCATGCGTACTTTAACTGTACCATTTGACTTTGCAATGAAAGTACCACTTATATGCTAATGTTTCCCCAAAGTTATATAATATCTCCAATCCAAACCTCTGCTCTGAATTTCAGATTCATTTTATCCCAGGGCGTATTGGACCTCCCCACTGTGTGTGCCTAATAAGCATGCCAACTGTGACATATTTAAAGCTCTTTTTCTGATCTTCTCCCCAAATCCCTTCTAGCCACAACTTCCTCCATTTCAATGGATGGCAACTCTAGCCCTTTAGTTAAGACCGAAAACCTTGAAGACACCCTTGATTCCTCTCTTTCTCTACATACAGTCTACCAGGAAAATGTTGCAGCTGTAGTTTCAAAATATATTCAGTATCTGACTCCTTCCTGCAGCGAGAAGCAGAAACTGTTACTTCCCTAGTGGGAACAGCACTGTCAGCCCTCGCCTCTGTCACTGCCTTAAAGTTCTGGCAGGTCTCCCAGCATCCTCCCTGGGCCCCCAGGGATCTATTTTCAACAAAGTAACCAGCACAAGACTTTTTACCTAGATGTCACACACTCCTGTGCTCACAATCTTCCAGTGGCTCCCCATGTCCCCTAGAGGAATTTATCCCAATGTAAAAAGCCATTTCTTTATTGGGGCTTTCGAAATACTGTATTAATTGGCCCTTTCTCCTTTTCTTTCTGTCTCCTTCCTTCCTTCCCTTCCTTTCTTTCTTCCCTCCCTCCCTTTCTCTCTCTCTCTCTCTCTCTCTCTCTCTCTCTCTCTCTCTCTCTCTCTTTCTTTTCCCTTTATTTATTAAGGCTCATTTCCTTCTCCTCTCTCCCTTCCCACCCTGGCTCCAGTGCACTTTGTCTCTTGCTGTTTCCCGAACACAGGGCACACTCCCATCTCAGAGCTTTACCAAGGTCACTGCCTCCCTCACTTATTCAACTTTTTGGTCAAAGATCATGTCCTAATGGAGCCTGAATGAATCCCCCTCTTAAGATCCTAATGTGTCCCACCCCACAGCATCCCAGTCCTCCTTATGTTACTCTTGTTTTCGGGGTTCTTTTGTTCTTCTAAGATGCATATAGTTTAGCTAATAATGATATGATATTTATTGTCAATTATCTAATGCTGGGCTTAGCACATAGTGAGTATCCAGCAAACAGCTTGATGATGGAAAACCCACCTCATGACAAGACCTGATTTAGTCTTAGATCAATACCTATGGAATTGACCTTAAGTTTCACCCTGGTCCATGTAGCTTTTACTCCCTTCAGAAGTATGCTAGTCAGCTCTTGTCAATGTGACAGAAACTTGAGGAAAAAAACCTGGAGGAAGAAAGATTTCTTTTGGCTCATAGTTTCAGATATTTCAATCCATGGTCAGCTGCCTTCAAGGCAGAAACAGGGAGGAAGGTCATGGTGGAGGAAAGTTACTCAGCTCATGGCAGCCAAGAAGCAGACGAAGGAAAGGTCCAGGAGCAAGTCCCCAAGGACATGCTCCCAGTGACCTACCTCCTCCTACCATGCCCCACCTGCCTGTGGTTTCCACTACTTCTAAGTATTTCAGTCAGTTATCAATGTATTGATCCACTAATAAGGTCAGAGTCCTCAGGATTCAATCATTCTTCAAAGGCTCTACATCTGAACCTTGCTACATTGGGTAAGCCTTCGACGCATGAGTCTTTGGGGAACTTCATATCCAAACCATAACAGAGAACAATTTGTGATTTAAAATATTCCCAACTTGTCAAGAAGGTAAAGATGTTGGGACTAGGATAAAAGGAGAAGAAGAGATGAAACTATTTGTTATTCTTCACATCTCCCAATTTTTTACCTGAATCAAACCATAACCCAAGAACAGAACACAGGAAAATCAAGTAGAGACATTAATTGGAGAGAAGGCAGGGATAAGTGCTCCATAAGTATTACTCTACATACACATTTGCTTGACCAAAAGAAAAAGTTTATATTCAATTTTAAATCAAATAAATGTACTTTTATAAAATATTTTATATTTTATTTTATCTTTCTTCAAATACAAATCTTGTATCAAACCAGAAAATATCACTATTTTAAAGTGAGGTCACATTTTTTTTAGGTGTGCAGTTTCTGTTTTGCATCTAGAATCCTGTTTAACTCTACAGTGGCTCCTTCCATAGTGGCAGGTCATAGCAGTATGTTGCAATTCCAATAAATGCATTGTTCTGGAAACAGAACATGCTGGAAGTGTTTTTCTTGCAAAATAGCCTAGATCTTCAAAAGCCTAATGTGCTTGATTACTTCTCATTTCCTTCTCAAAGTCACTAATTAAGCTTTTATTTAAAGGATCAGGAAACCACACATAATGGTATTGACTGCTTTTCAAAATCTTTCATGTGTGGAAATGCAAGACTTTTACCCACATTAATTAATTAACCCTGTGAAAATTGAGATAACAACCCAACTCATTGTGTTGTCTAGTCCTACAGCCTAGAAGCCAGATAAATGAGAAGAACATCACTTAAAGAAAGATGTCTTGTCCCATGGTGAAAGTACTTAGTGGGAACCCTGCAGTGAATATTACTGCTCTGTACAGCGAGAAGAGAATGTCATTCTGCTGTCACTTCTAACCCTTTCTTGGAGAATGACCTTCCCAAATTAAACTTTTCAGCTGTATTGGGTAGAATAAACAGGAGTCCTCTTTAGTTGCAATTATTTTTAAAATAGTTAGTGTGAAGATAAGAAGTGTTGAGTTGTACATTTTCACAGAAAACTTCAGAGTAAACAAAGAAAAATGATCATCTTAACCCTTTTTCGAAAAGTAGGTTGGGCTGATACACATATAAAAGAAAATAATATAGTGAAGCCGTAACAAAAATTGGCAGATATAAAAATCAAATGGAAACAGAAAAGAAAGCAAGTGATTTTAATCCCATCAAGAAAATGGAGGTTTGAAGTACAGTATTGAGTCTCGTAGGAGAGATAAATGGTAGATGGATAGATATTGGAGAAGTGGGCAGGGTCTCTTCCTAACAAAAGAACACACAAGGATAAACATAGAAGGAAACTGTAGAATTGGGGGGTGGGAATTACCCCTTTAAAATCATCATAAGATTTGGACCAAAATCTTCATCAACAGTCACTAACACTAGAGGAGAATGTTGCCAAGGAGCAAGATATTTGCAGTGCTTAATGTTTAGCAGATGTCTGGTTTAATGTCTGGTGGATGTTTTTTTCTCAGTTAATAAGAGGAAAAAGAGTAACTATTCAGATTCATCTTGGCCAGATTATCAAAATTAAGAGCACCATAGAGGGACAGATGGATGTTATACATCCTGTTTGTAGTGTTCTTTCTGGGCGTTCACAGCCTGATCGTTAGCATGAAAGGTATCTGACAAACCCAAGTTGTCATTGACCCAGAGACTAAAATAAATAGCATTTATTTGAAAACAAAAATCACAATTCAGGTACACTGAGTCAGGTCAGCCCTTAAGAGTGTCCTGTAAGGCAAGTGCAGGAGAGATTTCATAGGAGATTATTAGAGAAAGCTGTTTTCAGGGTAAATTCATTGGCCAGGCAGGAATTCTAAATCACAAACCTGTTCTGTTTGACTAGTTAACTGGGGTACTGCCAGCTGAGGACTGGGGACTCTGACTTCAATTGTTCATCTAGTCTACTGGAACATTCTGTGGTTTGATCTTTAGCAGTGTTAGTGCAATTGTATCACATTCTCCTAGCTCCTGTTAGAAAGCATTTGTTTTAGTTATTTCGTTTTCTTTTACATTTTATAAAGCAACTGGCCTGTAATCTTTACTATCTCTTGAAAATACTTCATTGGGAAACAACGCTCCATACGCCTCACTGCATTCAGAAACAAAAGCAACCTTAGTACATGCACTAGACACAGGAAGACTTCTGAGTACTCACCAAACCTCTTTCAAGACCAGAAATTTATATTGAAGAAAATGCCTTTAATTGTACTTAATATGAAAAAAAAAGGTTCAGGTCCTATGTGACCTTTTTAATACATGAAAATTCATACTAGAGAGGTTCTCTGTAATAAAGTTGTGACTGTGAACTTGAAGACACGACTCCTACTGGAGGAAAA